TGCGCGCGCAAAACAAGTGCGAAATACGCAAATGTTTTACTTACCGGGGAGGTGACAGGAAAAAATGTAACGGGCACCGTAAAAGTTTTCAAAAAAAATCAATAACCTTAAAAAACGCGTGGTTACCCCCACATTTTATGTTATGAAATGGAAGTGGCAAGCCTATTCAACAAGTGATTAGTTTCTGATTGTGAGCAAAAGGTATTTAGACTATATTTTAGCTGAACGAGAGGAAGGCTGTCAGAGAAGCTAAAAGCGCTGTTGTAACGATTTTGTTATTAAAAAAAATACGAAAAATGGTTTTTATGCTACCATTTACCATGCAGTTTTAAGATCTTTATAAATGTGCTTGCTTTTCTGTTAGTAAAGGCGAATTCGAAGGAAATCTGTGAAGAAATACCCTTTCCTTCTTTTTTTCAGAAAACGCTGATGTCAGCATTTTTGTTGAGATTCAAGGCTAATTATCTTGAAAAAATGCTTGACTACCCCAATTTTTCTTTGTGGATTCCAAAAGCCCTTGCAAAGGTCTACTTTGCCCACGTGGTCCTTACCTGGCGCAAAAACCTTGTATTTAGTAGGCACCGTCCTTAAGTGTGGTTTTTCGAAAGAAAGACCCCCTAGCAGATAATTTAAGGTAACTCACCGCCAAACCAGGACAATAGTAAGCAAAACGATAACGACCACTCCAGCACTGACACCAACCGCAACCCATTTCCCGGAACCGTTGACGCTCGCCTCTGGTGGTTTTTCTGTTGATGACGTTGTGGGCCGTGTGAAAAGAGCTGTCAAATCAGTGATATTTGCCCCAATGGCGTTTTCAAGCTCTGACTTGTACAATGAAACAATGCNTTTTTCTGTTGATGACGTTGTGGGCCGTGTGAAAAGAGCTGTCAAATCAGTGATATTTGCCCCAATGGCGTTTTCAAGCTCTGACTTGTACAATGAAACAATGCCAAGCAGAGTTTTGCCAGGTAGTACCGATACATTACCAATAAAAAGACCCAGGGGCTGCTGTACGTAAAGCGCAACCAGAACGGGTCCCGAGGCGTTGTTAGGGTAACCAGGCAAGAGGTGAACTTGGTCAGCGGTGTACAGATCGATGAAAAGGGAGCGTCTGATGATAAATAAATGATAAATGAATGAATAAATGAATTATAAAGAAGCGAGCATGGAATTAATTGAGTGCCTAACACAAAACGAGCTTTTTGGGCTTCAACCCATTGTCTCTGTCCTTACTCTTAAACTCCACAGGCCATCACTTGTATTTTAAGATATAGCACTGGAGGAAATGACAAAATTCATCTTTTCCTTATCGCCAATACTATAAACTGAATTCGATTTGGAGACGACATCATCGCTTTATAATGACGGCTGGTTGGGAGAAAATATATTTCCGTATTGGGCCGCCCAAACGTCCTCTCAAAAGCGAGTTTAGTTCTATATCGTGATACAAACATTGTTTGGAGAGAGTAAACGAAATTAGGCAAAACAACTTGCTGATCAAAAACGAAATTCTTGCTTTGGACGAGCTGTGGCATCCAACACGTAAATTTCTTCTCGCGGCGGGTTATTTCGATATTGGACATTTTCTGTCTACAAATTATACATGAAAACAAAAGAAAATGGAAAACTTTACCTCTATAAAATTACCTGATGATGACGAAATAAGTGAGGTGCCAGATTTTTATATTTTGCCACCAAATTTGTTTGAAAATTTGTTGTCGCTAGTTAAACAACAAGATGCAAAAACAGACATCGCAACAAGGACCAAAAAGCAAAACCAGCACGGAAGAATTTGAAACAAACCAAGCGGCTAAGAACACTGTTAAACGTACGGATTCTGCCCTTCGGTGCTTAAGTAGCTGGTATCTGGAGCGTGAAAAACTTGCAGAATGCTCGTTGACAAATGTCCACAGCAGCATGCAAACTAGTACCAACGTCTGCAAAGACGGATCTCAGCAAGCTCTGTCCAGCATTTTCAACTTTTCAGCGCTTAATGAATGCCAAATTAACATCAGTTTTTAAAAATGAACAATGACTGGTTCAAAACGCAAATGAAATGACAATTTTGAAATAAACAACACCTTGCAACGCCGCCGGTTCATTCACAAAAGTAAAATTTTGATCTGTACGGCCGTTACCGTGACAGATTTAGAGCCAATCACAAGCCAGTATTTGAGATCTTAAGCAAAGGTGTTTTTGAGCGACGCACGTCAACCGGAGGTGAACTGAGCATTTTCCTTCTCAAACTGCCTTGACGCTACCACATTTGTACTGCGCCGCGTCTTAATTTCTATAGAGACAATTTGCAAGGGACTTGGGCGAAACCACTTCCCAAGGATACGAAACGTCTACTTCCGGTTGACGTTTACGGTCGCACGCGTGCTGAGGACGAAAGCTCAAGTAATCTGCGCGCGCTCGAAGGAAAACGTCAGTGTTTTTCGATATTTTATTACGTCAACATGAGCACAACAAGCAAAACTGACAGTGAATCTTGTGAAATTCCGTAAAACTTGGCAGATTGGTGGTAGTTAATACTTTATTTTAGTCGGAGCTCGTTTTTCAGGGAAATCTGTAAGACCAGTTTTTTCGCAGCGGTAAAAGACGTAAATTTGCAAAAATCGAAAAACCTGCCATTACAAACCCTACTTTTTTCGTCTCTAAAATTCGTATCCCGCAGAAAGCGATATGCTGTGAAAATTGGGGAAGATTTCAACGAAGGAAATTCAAGAAAATCGCAAGTAAAGCCATAAAAAGATAAAAAACATATTTGTTTGGGCATTTATAATTCAAGACTAAAACCAATAATTTTAACAGAGATAATAGTAAAACACTATTTAATCATTGCTTATTACATGTAATTAGTTTGAGAGGACTGGGTGTAAAAGCGAATGCAAAAACGGCATTCAAAACGTAACTCTTGCGCGCGCAACGCCATTAATGATTACCCTATGGAGCCACCATAAGCTCGCAAAATAATACCGCGCACACGCAGTCAAAAGTGTACCAAGTTCGCGATACAGGGTTTGTTCACAGACGTTCCATCATCAAACAGATCTTTACGCAAGAATATTTATTAGTTTCATCACAGTTACCTTTTTCGTCTTGAATCTTTCAGTGCACATTCTGTCCTGTTCTCATTACAGAAGCTTGAGGTGACAGACGCCATTTTTTCTTTAAAAGACTTGTCAGTGTTGAAATCCCATTCAAACTGTTCCAAGGAAAAAATCGAAGATATTTCTGCACTCATTCGTTCGTTATTGGTTCGTTCGTTCGTTCATTCATTTTTTACAAAGGCAGCACACAAAATTAGCCCGACAAGGCNCATTCAAAACATAACACTTGCGCGCGCAACGCCATAAATGATTACCCTATGGAGCCACCTTAACAGAGGGCAAATCGCCGAGCCAGAGATAAGCAACGAAAATAAACCTTTTTTAATTAATCGAATGGTTTAAGTTAGAGATCAACCAGCGCATCTTGTCGGGAATGAGGCCAGCGACGTACAGTCGTCTCGGTGAGCTAGGGTACCCTACCATACTCTACTCTACTCTGCAATGGAATGCGAAAACAGTTCTTTTATGTTCTTCCCCGTTCTCATTTTATTTAGCAATTATTCGCCACAGGCAAAGTGAATATTGGTGAGTATTATCCAACTGCAGCGAATACCGTCCAAATAACAGTACAAATATCCAGCGATATTGTACAGTTATTTGTACAGCCGGAAAACCTGTTTGCCGGACAGGTCGGCGCGCGCAGGCAAAACTGTCACACTCTCCCTCTTTCACTGATAAATTTATTGACTACAGCAGTTGGATAATAAAACTGTTATTAGATGTTTTGGTGTGTAGCATCGTTGTTTATAAAATAACTGAGCTACTACGCGTGCTCTCATTGGTCGATAGGTGTGTTTAGATGCGAGTATGTAAACACGGTTGTAACGTTTTAGATTCGCGCGTATTTTTTGAGAATTATTTTATAAAAGCAATAGAGCACTTTTTCCGTGTTTACATAGCCTCATCTAAACACTCGGAGGGTTGGGAGAATTCCCAAAAGTTATGCAAACCCGACACGTAGTCAAGGGTTTGCATAACTGTCTCGAATTCTCCCAACCCCCGAGTGTTTAGATGAGGCTATGTAAACAGGGAAAAAGTGTTCTATTGCTTAAATATTTTTACTTGTTAGTTGTATTTTGACTCGCCCTACGGGCTTGTCAAAATACGGCACAACTCGTAAAAATATACAGCGATACTACACGCCAAAACATCTAATAAGAAATAAATATTCCCCTACCCTGGTCCCAGAGGTTTTTCTTGATTTATCTTCTTTTCGCGAAGCCGCGAACGCGACTCTCGCCGCTTCGCGGCTCTCTCGCAGCTCTCTCATGCGGGACCACGGTAATATTCCCTGAGACGACGGGGGAAATGCAAGTGTTAACCATTGTTCCAAGTGTGACCCAATTTTCGAAGAGTGACCCTTTGCTTACGTGTGACCCACTTTTCCAAGTGCGAACCTTTTTTCCAAGTGTGATCCACTTTTCCAAGTGCGACCCATTTTTCCAGGTGTGACCCACTTTTCCAAGGGCGACCCTTTTTTCCAAGTGTGATCCACTTTTCCAAGTGCGACCCAGTTTTCCAAGTGTGACCCATTTTTCCAAGTGTGACCCATTTTTACAAGTATGACCCATTTTTCCAAGTGTGACCCATTTTTCGAAGAGTTACCCATATTTTTAAGTATGATCCATTTTTACAAGTGACTCATTTTTCTAGGTGTGATCCATTTTTCCAAGTGTGACATTTCTTTCGAAGTGTGACAAGTTTTTCCAAGGGTGACTCACTTTTCTAAGTGTGACCCACTTTTTTAAGTGTGACCCGTTTTTTTCAAGTGCAAACCATTTTTCCAGAAGTGTGACCCACTTTTTTTCCAAGTGTGACCCATTTTTGCAAGTATGACCCATTTTTCCAAGTGTGACCCATTTTTCCAAGTGTGACCCATTTTTCCAAGTATGACCCATTTTTCCAAGTATGACACATTTTTCCAAGTGTGACCCATTTTTCGAAGAGTTACCCATATTTTTAAGTATGATCCATTTTTACAAGTGTGACCCTTTCTTCCAAGAGCGACCCATTTTTCCAAATGTGACCCATTTCTTTAAGGGTGACCTATTTTTTCAAGAGTGACCCTTTTTTCAAGTGTTACCTATTGTTCCAATTGTGACCCATTTTTCCAAGAGTGTGACCCATTTTTCCAAGCGTGACCCTTTTTTTCCAAGTGTGACCTACTTTTCCAAACGTGACTCATTCTGTTTGGCAATGTTGTTCAAGCGCGTCTCGTCATATTTAGCACAATTTTCACATCTTAGTTTTGAAGTGTCACTCCGAACTTTGTAGCATGTTTGGTATTTCTCGAACAGCATTTGCTTTCATTATATTCATTTCTCCTTCAGAGACATTGACAAAGCGTGAGGCGGCCAATTTGAAAAGCATAGTCGGAGGTGAATATATGAATATAGCGGAATACGACTCCATTCTCGACCAATGAGAACGCGCGAATTTTCTATAATCGCGTGAGTAATTATACTAAACGACTTTAGCCGCTAGCCTGGGCAGCAAGCGTTCTCCTACCTTGAGTTTTTTTCCGCATTCTGGCTGCGCGCAAATTGGAGTAAGAGCAAAAAAAGAAAGAAAAAAAATCGCTTTTGTTACTCTCGTTCCAGAATGCGGAAAACTTCGGCGCGCGGCCAGAATGCGGAAAAGGTATTCCCACAGGAACGCTTTTTATGCAGGCTATTACTCGCGTGTCGCGTTACTCACATCGTAAAAGATAAGTTGGTAAGATGCCATATTGATTCGCCAGCGAATTCAGTTAAGACACGGTCACTGTATTTGGAAAATAGGAAAATTTATTTATCTACCAAGTATGACAATATTCTTCATTTTAGTTAAAATTACACGCAGTTCGATAAAAATTAAACAGATTTCAAGTCTTTGCAGTCTGCCTCCGTGAAGCGTACATTGAGAGCTTCTAGCACAGTCCTCAGAGTGGGGAAGACTTCACTCACAAGTGGCAGGGACGACACAGGCTTTGACAACCTAGAAGGGTAGAAAAACAACGAACATTTGTTTAAGTACACTAGGGTCTGACAGATTTTTTCCTCTTCTAATGAAGGCTTCCTAATGGGGTATGGAGCGCGACGTAGCACAACAGGGTCCCGTGTGCCCAAGGGGGACCCCATGTGAAAAAAGGTCGGGGATGCTCGACGGAAATTTTGAATTAAACCCCTACAGGACTTAAAGGAGACCAATCTGGATGTGGTTCACGCTCTATTTGAACCCTAAGATACCACTTAAAAAACCTGATAAAACGGAATAAGCTCGGTTACCATCGCTGTTCAGGAAAGGAGCCCGCGTTAGAAAACCAGACTCGGGAGCCCAGCGGAAATCGAGCCTAAAGACGGAAATATGGGCGTTTCTTTCGTTATTATTATTGATTTATACCTCTAAGCGAAAAGACCAGCATCTGCGAGGTTTTAATTAAATGGAGTCCCCCCCCCCCNGCTCACTCAAACCATTTGCACTGAAAAAAAGTGATATTCTTGATGTGTCTTACTTTCTCAGACCGAGCCATCCTTTTACATTCTTAGTGAAGTTCTCTACTGAACCACCGATCATCGCTTCTAGATCTACCTCCTGCGGACAACACAAAAACAAACAAACAAATATAAATATAATATAGTTTTAGCTTAAATTACGCAATAGTAGAAAATGCCTCCTTCCTATAGAGCGTCACCTTCCTGTTAAAGTCGACTTCCCTAAAACGTCAACATCTATAAAACGTCTACTTCCTAAAAAATCAATTTCCTGTAAAGCGAATTCTTCTAGGAACACATTCTCTTATTGAAGAAAGAACCGCCTAGGTAACCTTCACTACCCTACCCACATTTCGAGCAGGCAAGCACCCCCCCCTCCTTCTAGATCCGCCTCATGACGCCAAGGCCCCCATCCACACTACGCCAAAGAAATGTGAAAAGGCAGCTTTATTTCTCCGGTTAGGCCCACCGTCCACGCTAATCAGTCACGAAAACCAAGCTTTTCGAAAACGCTCTTCAAACCGGAGGAATTTGAAAGCGCCGGCTTTGCGTTTTCGTGTGGACGGAAAACATTTTGAAAACGGAGCTTTTCGAAAACGATGGCGTCACGATAATCACGTGATTTCCCTGCCCGAGTCTTCCTCGACCACAAATCCAAAATGACCGGTGATTGCTACGTTTTCACATTTCTCCGGCGTAGTGTGGATGGAAAAAACATTTGATGTATTTTCAGAGTGAAAGCGCCGTTTTCCAATTTCTTCGGCGGGGTGTGAACGGGTCTGGAGTGTGTACATACCTTTCCTGGAGGTATTTTGCCAGTGGTTTCTCGTCCAACAGCGAGGAAAAGGCCTAGTGCCACAGTATATGCCACAGCACTGTTACGGAAAAGAAGACAGATCATCCATGTTACATTATAACCCCCCCAAAAAATATTTCCTTTCCTCTTGACGAAATTGTAGCAGGAAGCGTTATTACCGTGTCGCGCCTTCTGTGGAGTCTCGCGTTTCTACTCTTGCTTAGTTCCTCGGCTGCGATATTTCACCTCGGTCAATCATTTTCGAGTCATGCGCACGCGCCTCGGATACGTCACCGAAATCAATTGACCGTAAAGGTCTGGGAGAAAGCCATACAGAAACTGGGCAATTTATACTCCACGAGTCACTAACTTTTTGTCGTGAAAATATTAATTAACATTGAATTTTTCTACACAAACAAAGCTCAGTCACGGTATTTTGTCCGAGTACAAAATTACCTCTAAATTGAAGGAAACCTGAAAATAGTAGTTTACTAAGATAGAAAAACACCAAAGAGATAATAATAAACCATAAAGAAACAAGGATGGTTAAGGATAGTGAAGATTGACAAGGATTACAAACGACGAATTTGAAAAATTTAGTTTGAACTTTTTTAAGGTGACAAAAGTTAACACCATGTCAAGGACTTGCAGCATTTGACTAAAATATTTTCTTTTAAAATAAACACAGAGATTTTTAGCGGTACCTGGACCCACGTGACAGAGGCATCAGATTAAAAAAGTAGTACACCAGAGATAGAATATCATTACCAACTACATCGACATCCTGTATGACAAAAAAAAAAAAGACAAAAACAAAAAAATAAACAAATCAACTTGTGTTGAGAAGAAGAATCAATTTTACACTAAAATTTAATTATCACAATCCTAATTTCGATGGAAATGTTGGTTGTAATCCAACCTGCAATGGTTGGTTGATCCCGTGATAGTCTATACAGAGGTTGCTTAGCATCAAGACATGGCTGCGGCCAGCTTACGGCACAACTCACGTGAAGATCTAGTTGTTTACTGATTGGTTGAAATTAGACATTTTCTGAGAGTCGCCATACCTTGTTTCCAGGCCTCCTCATTTCATCGTTCAGGTGTCGCCAGATATGATCCAGTTCAGAGTGGTAACCCGCTGTTCTTGAAGGAGTTGTAGGTGTGTCCATTGTAAACAATATGTTTGAACCACTGGTAATAGGAAGTTAAACAGTCATTGTAAGACAAACAAGGGCCAGCGTAAATTATTTTCGATCGTCTTAGAATTGTATTGGATCTAAAGAATTTCAAAGGCAACTTTGGCGCTACAGTCGAACCTCCACTAACAACCACCTCTCTACAACGGCCATTTTTTTGTCCCGGCCGACAGTCCATACATTCACTCTCATTAATAGAAAGCTTAAGCAGACCACGACGGCAATGGCAACGAGAATGGCCACCAAACAAAAGGTTTAATGAGTGGAACAGTGGCTGTACACGTGCGTTATAAATCTTTGAACATTTCTTTACCGTCCTCTGCACAACAACAACGTGAAATGACTAAGTTCTGCGCATTTTGGAGAACACGAACGATGGCGGCTAAGTTTTAGTATTTTCATTTAGAATTGAGCAATGACGTTACAAATTCAGCTTAAGCAAGTTCTGAAACCAAAAGGCGCACTGAACAGATCTAGAAAATTGCGAAATTCGAAGGTAAAATATAAATTCTTTTTTTAGTGGTCCTCGGGGCCGCCGTTGTCATTGCTTTAGCTCTCTATTTTAACCTCTCTACAACAGCCACCTCTCCACAACGGCAACGCTCACTAAAATACGTCGCAACTACCAAAATAACCTCTCAACAACGGCCAGTTAATCAACGACTGACGAACAGCATATACAAAACCCCATGTATTATTGTAAAAGATCACGAACCTTGATCCATATCGTGCGCTGTTGGTCTCTGTTTATGTTCGGTTTCAGTTTTATTGATATATTTTGATTGTGTTGCGTATTTATATGCAACAATACGCATTTTTTCAACACCAAAATGTTGCATCCCCCCGAAAGAAAAACAGGTGTCATATTACATCCCTACCACCCCATAACGACCATTTCTTTACAATAACCACTTTCTTCTGTCCCCAACGGCCGTCGTGGAGAGGTTCGACTGTATCAAGGTTGTACAGTCGAGAGCATGATTTTATATGCTTGTCATAACTCTATCCAATCAGAGAAAAGATGCTGTACTCTTAGCCAACCAGGTACAAAACTAAGCAAATAGCGAATTGGCTTCCTCAACTTTTCCCGCGCTCGCGTAGGCTACGTCTAATCGCTACAAGTTCTCATTAACTGATGGCACTTTTTGGCGGCAAAAGGATTGACTTGGCAACTATTCTCGACAATCTTCGTAATAAATAACTCTATGCCTTCTATCTAATCTCCTCAGCAAAATGAATCAATTAAATCCACGTACCTTTCCGACAAACTTAAATTCAGCCCTTCTAAACTCTTTGTGCCTCCTCCAGTTTTCGAACTGGATACGTGAGTGGATAAGATCATACCGGGCTGTTGATTACTTGTATCGTGTTGCTGAGAAAACGAATACAAATAAACAACCGTGCAATGCAAACGTTTTATCATAACGATCAACATGTAAGACAATAATATCAACTGATGATGATCTCACCTTAAGAACTTGTATTAGCTCGCGGCATGTTTTTGCCTTCTCTACTTGCCTCTTGAATTCCTTTGTATTGAATTCATTCACTCTGAAAACAGAAAAAAAAATTCCAGGAAATGTTTGTTACACATGATTAGGCAAAGACTAAATAGAGATGCTGGGGCGGATACAAGATTTTAGAGATGGGGGTTCGAGAAATGGACCACCGAGGGCGGTCCCCTCCAGTCCTTAGGATTCTGCCAAATGTCTAGTAGCCTGCGAGAGCATCCGTTTTTTCGACTCTTGTTTCATGCGGAGATAAGCGACAGCCGCAAACACGCGTCTGCGTTTGCAGGCTAAATATCCAGTGGTTTCCCTCTCTTCAGATCTACTTTCTCCAGTAAAGTATTTATTTATTAACAAATAAAAACCCCTCTGTACTGACCTGTACAAGTGCTGTAACATTGTTTTGGTAAACTGGAAAATCTTTTCGAAATAGTCAGAGTATCTCACACTTTTTAACTGTCCCCTGAAACAAAGTTAAGGTAAGGTAAGGACTTTTAGATAGCAGTGCACTTCAGGCAGTCCAAGGCCAAAATATCAGTGCATGTTGGCATAAATCAAAGACTTCCCACAAACCTTAACAAGTTCATCCTGAAATTAAATCCTGTTTTAACACTTTTCTCTGGCATCAAGTCCAACCAGAACACGGGCTGCTCAGGATCAGAAATTCTACCCGTGAACAAAATACAAAATACTGTTTTTACTTGACTGTGACGTACATAAATGCAATACTAAAACTAAGAGTGCCTTCCGTTTGCCTTACTGTAGGACAAATGTAAGGAAATGCGCACAGCATTTTCAAGGCCCCAAAATTATTTAAGTCTCTCAGCACTGAAATTCAAAATGCCTCTACAGCTTCTGTGTCCACGTCTAAACTTAAGTCATTTTTCTTAGTATAAGAATATATTACTTCTTTTAGTGTGCCTGTACGTTCTTTTTTTTTTTTTTGCTCTTTTCGTCTTCCTTTGCTTTTGCGCATTTGCGCGTTTAACTTTGTTTAACTATTTTTTATCCTAACTTATGATCATTCTGTGTGCCGATGACAGCATTTTTATTATTTTGTTCTAGATATCTTTAAGGTAGTCCTTTACATAAGCCTTATTGGCTTCTCTGGGCTTCCTTGCCTTATAAATTGATATTAGTTAGCACTGATTATCCTGCTTTTGAACAACTTGGCACTGATTTGCAGCTTGTGTCATTCACGTGCAGCGAACTTGAATCACGCAGCATCCATTTGACAAATTGTGAAATTTATATAACATAGCTGACTTGAGTGTTTTCCCTACCTTCTCCACTTGACGGCCACATCAAACATGTCTCTCCAGGAAGCTATTTTCTTAAGGTTCGTTTTTGATGATCTGCCCGCTTTCCAGTTCTTATGCGCTACCTGAGCCACATCAAGGATTGCCAAACCCATGGCACGATGATGTCGAACGTTGGGCAAGAACCCGTCCGCATGGTACTGAACCAAGGGACCCAGTGTGGAGGATTTACACAACAAAAACTACGGAAAACCATCGAGAGTTAATTAAGTGTATACGACAGAAATTTGTTTATTTGCATGGTTTATGGAATCTACGCGAGATGGTGATATGGATATCGAAGAAAATGGATATCTTTGTTTCTTCACCGCGTCTTAGCCATCGGAAAACGTAAAATTTCACTTCTGGTTGGGTCAGAAACCGCGGGGGCCTAGCACATGGGACTAGTCAGGCTGTGACGCCAAAACAAAAACGTAGGTCTACATATTTTTCGAACCAAACAAATAGAAATGAAAAAAAAAAAGTGAAACATGCTAGTATAAGGCAACCAAGCGTAATTCCAATTTTGGCTCAAAACTGTTAACATTCACAAAAGATATGTAGACCTACGATATTAAATTTAAACTAAACAACTATGATTAAGTTTAAACTAAACAAATAACATTTGTTTAGTTTAAACTTAATTTTGTGGGCATAATTAGACCTTTCGTCTCCAAAATCCTATACAAAACTTGCTCCCCGAATGTTTCATGTTATTGGCGAATTAACAGTGTCTTAGTTTTCATGCTTTTAAGGTTAACTTTACCTGTGCATCCGGGCTCAAATAATCAAAGGACACTTCTTCAACTTCTCTGTTGGAAGAAGAGCTTAGTTAATATTTTGTTCAACGCATACTTCCAAGGAGACAGAAAGAATACCACATACTGAATGCGAAGGAAAAGCCAAGTTAGGTGATTTTCAGTAAACCTCATTAATTTACTAACCGTATATGAGGCTGTATTCCAGGTTGTTCGCTGTAATTCTACAACAGAACAAAATTAAAGATGGTTCAATACAAATGTCAAATACATTGTAAGCTTAATTACATGGAATTTCAACTTTAACAGTTGTTATTAAGTCTGCCTAAAATAACAACAGAAGTCTCTTTACCGTGCATAAAGTAGTCACAACTCTACCTACCTTAGCATTAAAAGGCAAGCCCTTGACCCATAAGTCCTTCAACCGACCATCAAGGTCTGTGTCCGGCGAGTACTCTGACAGGGGCGTGTCCAGGTGTGAGTGAAGGTACCGTGAATATTCTGATCAAAGAGAGAAAAAGTCATATCTATCACTCAAACATGCACCCGCGTCAAGCGCGGGAAAACAAGTAACCGGCACCAAGCGCGGGTAAAAATGTTACCAGCACTAAGCGCGGGAAAACATTACTCGTAAGTCAAGTCAAGGTGTGTCACTTTTGATTGGTTGAAAAACATCTTCCTGTGATTGGTTACAGCGTAGCCAATCAAAGGAACTCCATGGATAGTGGCAAGCCATTAACTCAAGTTTTCTAGGGCAATATTTTCCGTACTTGTCAAAGAAGACGTTAGCATTCTATGGCTCAACGAATGCCGATATTCTTTCCTCTATTTTTGCTTCCGATGTATGAAATGAAGGACATATTTCCTGTGCACTAGCGATATTACTTTTACAGAAACCGCGGTAAAAATGCTGCTTACCTTTGAGGTAATGACTTTTGATAACATCTACGTTCTGCATTGGAGATGAATTCGACAAGAGAATCTGTAAGCCAAAAAATAGAACTCACATTATTTTGGACTTTCTAAAAGTCCTTTCCAGTAATTCTTCCCTGCCCTGTTGGTTTGCAGGTTTGCATTAGCTTTGAAACCCACCGTGTTTAAATAAAAGATGTTGTTGTTGTTGCAGGCGAATAAGCGTAAGATTAAGCAAAGGTCGTCCTGTGGCAAGACTAACATTACTTCTGAGCAAAGCTCTACTTCTTCTGCTGTTACGTCTGGCTCAAAATCAAAATTCTCCTTATATTTTTCATACATTTTCTCGAATCCTTATGGGGAGAATTTAGTTTTCGAGCGTATTTGTCACGGATGGCACATAAAAGATATAGCCTGAAATTTTCAAGCTGTCGTTCATTTTCAGTACTGTTATTACCTCTGTTTTTTTCTTCATCTTTGTTAAATGTCATTTTGAGATTACAAAGCAGGGATGCGATTGTAGTCTGCACAAACCTTGGCACTTGATTTAACAGCCTCGTAAAAGTTCCCAATGGCAGCATAACTAACTCCCTTCCAGTACTTGCATGAAATGCTCTTAGGGTTGTACTTCAAGCACGCCTGGAAAGAAGAGGTAGACGTCAAACACAGTAAACACAATACACGTACAGAGTAACGTAAACTCTTTTCGATAAAACCTGGGTATTTACCACTGACGCAAACATAAGGGACGGACCGTTATATTTTTGAGAAGGGGGGGGGGGNGGGGAGTGGGCAATTTTCTGGGGCATGTTTCTCTCACGACCGTTAGGTTGTGCATGATGTTTTTTTGGTGAACAAAAGCTTGTGCAAGAATATTTTAAACCCAAACACAGGGCCAGGATAGTAGAAAGCACTTGTTCGATTTTTTTTCCATGGCTCCTCTTGCATGATTTTTGTCAGCCGATTTTGCTGTGCAGGAATGTTCTTTTGGAAAATGCCTTTCCCCCTGAAAAAAATAATGGTCCGTCTCTAAGTGCAAATTCAAATGCTCAGTGACGCGATCACGTTTGATCAAGTGCAAAAGAATCAAAATATTTTAATTCCTAGCGCTTGCATTTCATGGGGTTTGTATGGACTCTTGTCTTTCTGGCACTTTCTGGGCGTAAACTTTCGTCGCCAGTAAACTCCTGTGGGTTGTGTACGTGTCACTATGGGTTGTGGGTTGTGTACGTGTCACTACGTGTCACTGAGAGCAATGACGTATACGTACGAGATTGGAGAAAACATGTTTCAAAAAATTTAAGAGGCTGGTGGAAACACGTTAGCGAAATACAGACAGTTTCTTGATCATGTTTCGCTGCTTTCTGCGCTACGTATACCCAAGTGAAAGGAAAGGCCGCCAACAGCCAAGTAAAGTTTGTCATGTCTTGTTCACTTGGTTCCCTTGTTTCAAACAGTAAATCAGGTTTCAGCCTATTATGACACTGGGCCTCACACTTTCTTTGGAAACCAGCCTGCGAGGCACTAACGCACTCAAACGCTTTCCGGCTGTTCGCTTCAGCGCGCGAGCGAGTTTACAAACGACGTCGGGGAGGGGACTCTTGCGGCCTTGCTGCTGGCCGGCCTGGCCTACTACGAGAGCCTGTTCGCAGACTATTTGGAAACAAAAGGGTCAGCTAAAACGCATACCTTCAAATCAGTGATGGCTTCCGCAGGCTTCCCACGCATGTAATTAAGAATCCCCCTGGAATGATAGTTCTGCCAAAGAAATTCATTTCCATCAAGATAATTGTAAAAAATGCACTCATTTATAGAGAATGGGTTAGAACACAGGGACGATAGTGCAAAACAGTGCATGACTTCTCAAGGTCGAGTAAGATGGGAAAAATAATTTTGTTTTATCAATGAAGGAAAAGATAGGCGGCGGTTAGGGGTATCGTTATTTCTCCCAGGATAAGATGCTAGCCCATTGCAAGGTTACCTCCAGCATTTTGATACGTTCCCAGACAATTCAACAATTCACCAATTTAGCCACCTGTAACCTAGGTGGAGAGTGGAACTACAAGACTATTTATCCAACTATTCAGGCCTACAAGAGTGAACGCCAACTTGTATCCACTTGCGACTTCATTTGGCCAGGACTCTTGTACATCCGTGTTGACATGCATTCTCTTTAACTGGGATCTAGGAAGCGCCTCGCATGGGTACTCTCGTCCCGTTTTCACTTTCCCTTTCGGGAATTATTCTCTTTTCTTTCTTGCTTTTGTTTTTTTACTATTTTAGATAAATTTGTACATATTCATTGCCAATAAAGCTTACTAAATTGATCAAATTTCCATGTAAACTGGCGCAATTGTTTTCACCATTTGGCAACCTGATCGCATTTCATTCGTTGTCGCTTTCTGCAACTAGCGTGCACTACACTTGAGAGTTGTTTGACCACCCAAAGCAAGTCTGTATGCAAGGTTAGCATGCGACTAAAAGGAGCTACGCCACGATATTCTAAGACATCTTTTACAATGTACTGAATTACCTTAAAATATAAGAAACCGCAAAATAAAAAACACCAAAGAAGTTATAACGAACCAAAAAAGAACAAGGATGGTTTAAGGATGGAGAAGATTACCACGGATTGCAAATGACGATCTTGAAAAATTTAGGCTAAACTCTTCAAAATGTGCGAACCGCGAAGTAGCTCCTTTAAGCCTCAAGCGTTTGGCCAGGCCTTAAAGTGTCCGACATAAGTTCTCACAAATTTCAAAACAACAACATTTACAAACCTGAGCAACTGTTGGCTCCATCATTACAGCTGCTGTGAAGTGTAAATGGGCAAAGTCTGGGCTTCCTAGCTCCCTGAAAAATATGACAATTATTTGTACTTCAGATCAGTTGATATAATATCTATAGACATACACTAAATTTTAAATCCCAAAATCTAAATATCAACTAAAAGTTACTTTATACAAATGAAATACATTTCCTTTGAATTCTTCAAACAGATTAAATTTCATAAGTTTTATTCCTCAACCCGTTTCTCTCCAATAAATAGTTGTCTGTCTTTCTGTCTGTCTGTCTGTCTGTCTGTCTGTCCACCTGTCTGTCTGTCTGTCTGTCTGTCTAATCCATCATGTGACATACCTATATGCATGGCCCAAGCTGCGGTGACACTCTGCCTGGTTTGTATTTGTTTGCAGAACTTGTTTAAAAATTTCTATGGATTCCTTAGGAAGAAAAGACACAGATTGAACCTGAATTACTACATGTACTTAATTCTCTGACAAAAGTCACAAGGTAGGCAGGTGAAGTCTGCATATGAGCCAAGTGGCTCACCAGGCTGGGGCTTATCCTGATTTCTGTACCATAAAGCAACTGGGAGTATTTCTACTCCTCCCTGGATAAGATGCTTGTCCATTGCAGGGTTACCCCCAGCATTAAATTTGCGGTACCCATTTATACATCTCGGTGGGGAGAAGCACTGTGAGAGGAAAGAGTCTTGCCCAACAATACAACGCAATGTCCCCAGCCAGGGCTCAAACCCAGACCGCTCGATCCGGAGACGAGCACACTAACCATGAGGCCACCGTGCCTCCACACCTAAATCACAAGACATGGGAATTAAAAAGAGGCAGGTGACTCCACACAGTAGTCACTGGAGATCTGTCTCATCTTGTGTCATGGTATCAGAGTGAAACAGGCTTCTCGTGAAGCCACAGACAGGACAGCAATAACACTGTGCAATTGATTGATTTGATAAACATACTTCATGCATAGCAAGTATAGATTTAGGCCTTTATTTACACCAGAGAACTTGTGTCTGAAACCAAAGCTAGCTAGAGCATACAGAGGGTATCCTAAATCCTAAGATATAAGCATAGATCTCCAATGTAAATCTCACATGGTGCTCATTAGTAATAAAAGAGGGGTGTCCTAACCTTATGCAATAAATCTATACTGGAAAACTAACTTTGCGAACGTTCTAAAGGTGTAAAACCAATTATCTCTACCTCCATTCACAAACAATACACTCTTTTTTTGCCACATCCTGATTAATGTCTATGTTGTGGTTCAATATCACCATTGGTACAACTTGGTACCTTCCTTTGTATCATATGCATTATAATACATTACCATGCTCCAGAACAAAGGAAAATAATAAATTATATTGGATCATGTGTACTAAACGCATCCGCAGACAAGTGTCAGTCGAATACCCTCGATGGATGCTCAATCGACATCTCGATCAACACTTGATTGACATCTCGATCAATATTTGGTCAACACTCAATCAACATCTCAGTCAACAGTCGGTCGAGAGTTGACTAATTTTTGCAGACACACCAGGGAGTGTCAATCACTACAAATGAGTCTGTTGACACTGACAGACTGTTGAGCACGTGTCGATCAAGTGTCAGTCAAGTGTTGATTCAGATGCTGATGGAGTGTCAGTCTAGTATTGACTGAGTGTCAATCAGGATATGTCAATTGAGTATCAATCAAGTGTCAATCAAGTGTCAATCAAGGGTCAATCAAGGGTCAATCAAGGGTATCAGTCGGCACTCGACCGGGGATGCCTTTAGTACACGGTGATCCATAATATCAAGGGCAACATTGAACCACAACATAAACACAACAGACTAGCCTCTTGTCAACCCTCATGTGGAGAGAGGTAATACATAACTTTATTTACCTTCACCCTTCCCCTGTGGTACAGTGATAATCCATGATACAGCATGGCTGTGGGCTGGTTCTTCTCTATCGCCAGACATTTCATAAAGCTTTCAGAAGCTGCCTCATAGTCCTGAGTAAAAACCATTGATAGTATAAACTACTTATGACCACTTTTGACAACACAGGTATTTGCATTGTCTGACTTTTATCCATGATCCCCCTAGGAGGGGGAGGGGGGAGGGTAATAGCTGGGTTTTTACACTGAAAGTACAATTTATTTACTGTTTATATAAGATCTGTGTTACCTTAGTTTCCATTTGCTCTAGTTTGAAAACAAATTAATGAAGGCTTAACTGGTTGGCTGACACCCGCTCTGATATTTAATAGACACTCAGAGTGTTCTATTGGAACTCCACATACTGTAACCAACTGCTTCTCCCATCACTGCCTAACTCCTTGATATAAGATGGTCTGTACATGCACTGCTCTTAAAAATAGAAAATTACTGCTGATTTCTGGTTTGACAAGAATGAACAAAATTGCAACTTTTAGACTGTAATCCTTTTGACCATCTACTAAAACAATTAGACTATCTATTTTTAAGCTTGTTTTCTATTGAGTAATAGTCAACTTGGCTGTGACTTGTTGATCATGCACTAATAGGAAATGCATGTTAGTAGTCTAATATTCATTTTTGGATACAGACAACCCATAAAAGTTCATTTTGTCCTGGAAAATAGCTCAGGCAAGTATTGTTAATGCTTTCCTTACCTCTTGCATGAACAGCAGTGTTCCACTCATGACAAACAACTGAGCACTTGGTCTCAAGTCCAATGCAACTTTAATGTCTGCCAAGGCCTCCTTGATCTTCCCCAGAGGTGAAAACACCTATAAAAGGGTGAAAAATTCTGTCTTCAAAAAATGGTAAACACAAGCACTAATCGCACAGTGGGGTACAATAATTCAATGTAATCGGGTGGGTAAGGACAATGTTCTCCTTTATTAGTTTTAATTATCACTTTGTGGCTCTAGCGTCCCCAATTAATTTATTTTCCATGTTTATTGCACAAGGTAAAAATTAATTCCAGATTTTTTCCTGCAAACCGTGAGATTGGGGGTCTTGTTGTGAGGCAATGAAAAGATGAAAAATTTGCAGAATCATGATAGTTGGCAGGTATGAAGTCATCTTCTCAAATGTCAGAAATCTGTGACCAGGGTACATTTTTCATTGCCATAAATATGTCAAAACTCTGTCACATCTGTCAAAAGCCTTGCCTAGTGGTAAACCTAAATAATGGTAAAACATGCTTTGATCAAGCAATAAACTGCTTTGAAAGACACGTATTTAATACCTCTGCTCGCTTGATCCATCCATCAGGATTATCAGGGCTAAGTCTGATAATTGATGAGAAATCTTGTATTGCTGCCTCAGCATTTTCCTTGTGCTGAAATGAAAATACCAAATTATTATTAAATTGTTTGTGGAAGGGGCAATGTCCGCTCAAAGGCGATGTGGCACCCCACCCTGACAGTGCATGAAGTGACTGGGGTAATGAGCACTATCCCCCTACCCCAGCAGTACTGTAATTCAAACAAAGGGTTATTGAGCACTACCTCCCCCACTGCACAGCTCTGTCATTCAGTCACAGTCAATTGAGGATGAATATACAGTATACCAGAGGTGACAAAACGTATGCAACACAGGAGCAAATTAACGGTCACCAACCATTACAAGTATTTACACATGTTAATCACAAATTTGATGGCAATAGCTGAGAATTGAGGAGAGTCCATAACAGCATGCAAGAACTTCCAGGCATACATGTATAAGATCATCTTATCAAATCAAATCTTAATAACACTATTTTCATTACACAAGAAAAAAAAGGAACTAACAGAAAACAGCAGAAAACAAGTGTAGGAGTTTGAGCTCTTGACCACTCTCCTCATTTTCTCATTTAGCCTTTAAATCGAGGTTCTGAAGGGACAAAAGTTTAAACATCCTGATAGAATCCAAAATTTCAACTGCACTTTGGAAACTTTATGTGTAAAAACATCATTCTCATGTATTTAATAAGTCATTATTAAAATACCTGTAAGCCTTTTTGAACATAAGCTGTCCCACGACCAAAATACGCCGCAGTGACCCAAGGGTGTTCCTACAATGCATCACATTTAAATTAATCAAAACAAACATCGTCATTTAACATTGTTGCATTACTATTATTTGATAAGCAGGAAAATACGCTAAAATGCCGGAAAATTAAGAGCAGGGTGCAAAGAAAATCAATTTTTACATTGCCATTTGAGCAAGCTGTAACTATGATCTGCAGGCCTGAGAGCCATTTCTAAGTAGCCCCCAAAATTTCATCTCCTACTTACAGTACTTCTGTCATTTGAATGTTCACAAAAATTTTGTCAAGAAACGCCACTTGCTTATTGCTCAAGGGAAGGTCAGAATCCGCTCTAGAGTCGAATGCAAAATCCCCTAGCCCCAGGCTAACTGACATGACTTTCTTTGCATGAAACATGAATAGTGTTGAATAAAATAATGGAAACTTATTTTAAGTCTATAAAATAATGGAATAAGATTTACCTTGATGATATCAGTAAATTGATCAATTGCTTGATCCAATTTCCCAGTGTTCATGAGGAGCATAGCATAACCTGAAAGTTAGGTACATGATATTGTATCAAATGTTTCTCACTTTGAGAAATTATAGAGTAACTGAAATTCAAAAGAGTAAGAGGGTCTGACAGTGTACCAGGATTATCCACTTATCACAAAGTGGTGGAAATTTGCTGAAGAAATGTAGCTATCATGGTCTCATTCAATGAGGCCCCATTAGCTGGGGGTTTTCGAGACATGGGATTCTTGCGTAAAAAATTAACGGGATATAGGATTTTTTGGGGGGAAATTAATAGCATGTGGAATATTAAGATCAGATAAAATGGGATATCAAGTATGGAAATCGGCAATTTTTGTGACTGGAATGCAGAACATTCAGGCCAAAAATTTGCAGGATGTGGGATGCTTAGACCTCCACCCCTCCCCTGCTAATGGGACCTCTTAGAACTGTGGTATCAGGAAAGCCATTAGTACCCAGTCCAAGAAAGGCCATTTAAAAATTGAAAGGTTTATAATAAGTGTTATAAGGAAGGTATGAGGCAAATAAAAACATAATTTTCAGAGGGACGGAGGTTGGGTTGAGGGAAGGAGGGAGGGCTAAACCAAAAGACTGTGCCATCAAAGTAGAGTGAATATTCTCTGGAACAACACAATACGCCATTTCCGAGTTGCTTCTTACCTCTGTTTCAAAATGGGTCCTGGTGCACAACCTTGATTTGCAAGACAATGAACATCCAAGAAAAAGTATTTTCAATATGAAAAAATGTGCACCAAGACTCGTTTTGCAACAGAGGTAAGAGCAACTCAGAAATTAATGGCTTATTCACATTTGTCAGCATTCAGTCTGTTTGTGGCCTGCTCAGACCATTCATACTACATCACACTTCAAGAAGATGTTTTCCAAATCCAATCGAAGAGAGGATCAACCACCCCTGGAATTGTGCACATGTATAAATTTTACTCAAATTATTCAGCAACCCAATGATACCACAGGGGATGTGTGTAGGGGTACAAAGGAGGGGAGGGGTGGGTTGATGTAAATTATTACCAAGTAACCATGCTTGTAATTGAATGAGAGTGATGCAAATCTTTCTTACCAACTTGTTTATCAATCTCATTATTTCCAGTCAGAACAACTTCCTGTTTTACATCATGTGCTATGACAAGATGGAGACTCTGAAAAAGATTAAGGTGGCTCTGAACCCCATGTACAGAATTTTCAAACTTTGTGAAAAGTTGCATCTTATCCTGCTAATCAAAATTAAACAAAATAAATACAACATGGGTTTCATCATACTGTTTCTAAATTTTAAGCAACTAAAGCTAACATTAAGGGTGCTTTTTAGCAGGTAATACTGTTGCTATGGTAACCTATTTTGTGTTAAAAAGTGATAATGTTTCCACCAATAACTGGGCAGTCCTTTGATACCATGATTATACCATCAACAGATAAAGAGTGGATATAATGGCCCATTAAATAGACCAATTTCGATGTATTAAAATTCAGGCTAAAACAATAGACTTCAGTACATGGCTCTGGGAAATAACTACAGAGTTTGTGGGGTTTATTCCCCAGAGCCTTGTGCTGAGGTCTGTTGTGTTAGGCTGAATTTTAATATATTGAAATTGGTCTATTCTAAGTCTTGGAAAGTGCTGGAAACTGTTTTGAGTCACCTTAAACGCTGCATATGAGCCCCTTATCACCACATTCATTCACAACAATGCAGCACTTAATCAAAGCATCCCGCAGGTACAGCAACCGGAACAAAACCAGAACCACAGTGCTCAATCAAGTGAACAAGTGAACATGGCATTAAGGTTGTGAATAGAAAAAAATGTAAATGATGTTTGAGGTGGATTCGCCTCAGGGAAAATTGAGGGTCTTGGGAGAAAAAAATTATCCAGATTACCTAATATTTGGTTACCGGTAATTAGTATTAACTATTGAAAACTTGTCATAAATATACTGGTATTGGTTTAAAGGCTTTCTTGAAATGAGCATCGCTCAACAGAGCCACCGGTATGTTTCTTTTTAATAGACTGTCAGTTCTAGGTCAGAGGTTACTAAATCACTCAGATGCATAAAGATCAAAATGGGTGGAGAACAAAACAAAATAATTACGAACACCTGCCTTATTCTATCTGACAAACTACAGTCAATAGCAAAAAGAAATTTGCTGCATTGTCGTTTATAAGTTTGAAAGGAAGCAGAGACAATGGCCATAGATCAAGGCCAGGGAAAAACTAAAACATGATTAATGAGTCAAGAAGGGACAGCCATTGATCATGATTGAATATGAGCACTCACATGAAACACACAGAAAGACCTCAAGGTGAGCTGTGAAATTAATTTGTTATCTAATAAGTGTTATCACACTACACGGCATGATGCTAGCAGTAGCATCATTTTTTGATGCCATGTGTACGAACCATGAAAACAACTCTACCGTGAATTTTGAAATATATTACTGTGATGTTTGTCATGGATTATGAAAAACTTCTAAACATTTTTGAATATATACACTTTTAGCCACTTGACTTATTATTAACATATAATTCCCAAATTTATAATAGTTTGTATTTAATACAATGCAGCAAGAATAATTCAGTTGACAACTGATCATGATCGGGAGTACCTTGTCATGCTCTGGGGTATGAATAATAAAATGCTTTTTGTTATTGAGTTGTTTTAAACAAGGACCAGCAGGGTTCATGCCATCATCGTTACACTTCTGTAGCTTCAGTTTGGAATCAACAGCATCAGATATCTGCTTGTATCCACAGTCTGTGAAGGAATGGCACAAAAGAATCGTAAAAGTTATTTCTTCACATCTTGAGCTGATCACAGTGCCAATCAAAGGAAACTTTGAAATAATTCCTTAGCAAGAGAGCCTGCCAAATTATACAGATGGATTTCTGCGGTGTGAAACAAATGCTGGAAATCTGTCTGTGTTTGCAGGCTAGTAGATAGTATACTAGGAAGAAAAAACACCAGAGAGAGATGACAATAAACCAAAATTGAACAATGGTGTAAAAAATTTATGATGAATATTTGAAAGATTTGATTGGCTCAATTTTACAAAATAGACAGATAGATAGATAAGATAACCTTAATTGACTCTCAATATTATGTGAGGCTTGTTAGTTCTCTACATGTACTGAGCACTAATGATCCAAGATTAGTAAATTCCTAAAGTCAAAGGTAAACCCTAAAAAAATGAGGATTGCTTTATATAAACTATCACTATTGGCCATCCATGATAAGATTAGGACCTTGCCTAAGCAAATCAGGAACACATAGAATTCTTTTGTTACTAATAATTTACTAGGGTGGAATAAATAATAAAATACAGTCACTCATTATTATCCAGGTGGAAATTATGATGCTGTGTGCTCAAACAAAAAGAGCTGGTTAATGCTAGTTGAAAATCTTGTGTTTAAGAAATTATCACTTGACAACATTTTTTTAGTTTTAGGAACTTTTCATGTACAGTCAAGTCATTTGCTCATTTTCTTGTCATTATAATTTATGATAATTTGGATAGTTATTATCAATAGATTTTTAATGGTAAGTTCATACAGTCAGCAAACAAAAAACCAACTGCAATGGAACAGAAGCAACAAATTTCATGCATCTAGTTTTCCATAATTCATATAGGGTTTACTTGTACTTTCAAAGTCATTAAATTTTGTAGCTTCAAGTTTCAAATTACAGAGCACGTTTGTAAAGGTTTGTAATTTTCAGCAGACATAAACAAAACAATGAGGCCATTGTGTACCACAATCTACATTTGTATATTTCGTAAACTTTTGATTTTTTTTTTTTAGCAAGAAACCTCTGCTGTCGTATAGGGTTTGTGGAGGCGATCTCTCTTATATACCAGTCCCTGGAAGCTATCACTGGAGCTTAGTTTACATACAAGTTACCACTAAATGTGATAATTTGCGATTCTTACAAACATAACATTTTCAATTATTAGACCACACCACGCCATTCAATTAGCTCCTCACCGGCAGACGCCGAGAGAAATATTAATGACCTTCGAACGATCGAAGCGCTAAATCAATGTATCAAAAATAAGTTATTCGCGCGATCGAAATGTAAGCTTAATTAAGGCTTATAGACTAAGTTTTAAACACTTTTTATACGAAAGCACTGTTTCTTGGCTCTCAAGATGACTGTTGATTTAATTGCGTAATATTGTCACTGTACTGGTCCCCCGCGCGTATTAAATAATGTTGACAATTAATAAGTAAACCTTAAATATTATCGGACGCGCGAAAAATTAAGTGGACATTCATTAGGTGTTTCATAATGAAATGGCAAACAATAATATTATAATAGAAAACACGCGCGCATAAACAGAAATATTCCAGGACTTAGAAAGCATTAATCGCATGAAAACCGTCCCTTAGATACTGTAGTGATAGTAAAAATATTCTCACATGATTCTCCCATGACGCTGGCGGCTCCGTGCCTCTTCTTGGCTTTTTGTTGTGAAAATTCTGTGTTCAAATCTTATAAAATTGTCATGTTATATTCCACACGGATCTAAGCGTAATACACGTAGGCTATTTATTCTCGCACGGATACAAACCTTGAGAAGGTGAATGTTTCGCTTGGTCTTTTGCTTCTTTTGACGCTTGCGGCGTGGTGTTGAGAAGTCCACATTGTTGAATCGGACTTGCTCCGAAATTAACGTGTACCACTTGTGACCCTGAGACACAAACGTGGCTGCTTCCAGTGATACTTACCTTCATTCCCAGGACGTAGTGAAAATGTAGAAATACTACGATAAAACGTGTCATTATCACTGAGGCGCGCCACGCCGCCATATTTACGTTTCACTACTACCATGACCCAGATCTCCTCGCTTTTTACGCGTGACATAAAGCGCGAGATATTTTATGAGGGCTTACACGAAGTATAATGTGGCAGTTTGTTTGTTTCGTTGCAGTCGTTTTGGTCAAATGAGCGCTTTGAAAATTGTATTTTTGACAAATTGACGAGATCTTTTTGGGCATTTACGGAGATATTAACATTCATGGATGACCTTTCGCCTAAGAGAGTAAGTACAGATCGGATCAAAGTTTGCTAATACAGATGAAATCAATGATACCTTTTCACCTGGCAACGCATGTAAGCGTAAATTTTCCTCAAATCTTGAATTTCCCAGTTTGTATTTTAAGTCTTAATTTGGCTCCTTTTCATTATGTTTATGACATCTTTGGCAGAAACATAAGCTTAACTGTCAAACAGCCTTTGTAGTGCCGTGTTTGAAAAAAGTGAAAAAAAATGCGCTAAGCTTAGAACATTTTGTTTATTTACTATCAGCTTTAAGTTTTTAAGACTTAACCATGCATATGCCCTATTGTATAGTTATCACTTTTTCTTATATTAAGCCATATTTCAGAAAAAGGTCTTAGGCTTGTCCAGATAACTGTGCTTTTGCCCTTGTTCCTAAGAAACAACAAACGGTCTTGATTTCTTATTATTGATTCAGACAGATAATTGAGGCTAGGGTAAAATATCTCTTATTAAACAACAAAAGAAGTCACGCCAATGTTATCTGCTTAATAGAATTCTAGAAATACCCCATTGTTCTGCAACAAGAGTGAGTCTCTGTAAAAACTGTACAACAATAGTCCCAATTGTTACTTGTGTATTCTTCGACAAAGCTTGTTGACAACATCAAAATCAGATAAAAGATTTGGTGAATGTTTTTACTGTGTTCAGCATAATTGAACTTCAGAATGATCAATCTTATCAACCAAAGTCACAATAGAGTAATCGTGCTAATAGCAATTTGTGGGCAGACATATGTGGATATTTTTTTTTGGAGAAGTTAGATAAACAAAGGATGTCCAGAAGACAGTCAAGATTAAATGTGTGCGAATGAGATATGAGAGAGATTTTAAAGCAATTATGAAAAGCATATTTGTACTTTCTTTGAATAGAGACTAGCTGCTACATTTGCATGAAAATGAATTGCATTCAATCGCTTAATTTACACAGTGGTTGAATTTTAATATTTTTCATGGACTTTAAGGTTTGGCCAGTAGAGATTGCTGAACTGGAAAGGTTTGCTCCTGTGCTTGATTTTGATTTTTGTTTGGAAGAAAGAAAATGAAAGAACATTTAATAACAATGCTTAATATTCTGTTTAGAGCATCGAGGAAGTGATGGGAACATAAAAACGCAAGAAGAAATAAGCACTTCCTCAAATAATAATTACTTCCTCAAATGACTGTACTTCTTGCAAATCTTGAGTGTTTTTTGGCTTACTGTTTCATGTCTGTATTGTTTATTTTAACAGGATTCAGCAGGGTTAATGTTTTTTTTTGTGTGTTTAGGATATTAACATCACTTTATAACTAGTATGTAACGTTACTCAATTTGGGGTCTTTGCTTTTGGAAAATATTTCACAGCTTACATGTATACACAAATTTTTCAATTGCCTCATCAAAGGAGCTGCCCTTCTTTGTTGTAGATTGTTGTCGTTCAAATGCTTATATCTTGACTTGATGCTGAATATTTTACAAGTTATTGAAAGGCCAGATCAAGGAATTATAGATTATAATATATTGAGGAGAGTGTTTTTTTTCCTAACATTTGCCTGAGTCTTTAATCTCAGCACAACACAGCATGACACACAATCCTTCAAGTATGACAACACTTTTCACTTCTCTTTTATCACTCTTTGATTCTGCATAGGAGAGTTAGCGGGATACAGCAACTAAACGAGTGGACAGATATTCTTACGCACGAACTTCACTCTTCTTCACTCTCTGATAAAAATTCCTTTGAATCTAAAACACACAAAAGGGACATATTAAAGACAAACAGCAACATGGCCAAGGTATATGAAATGTATACAGTGGAATTCTGGTATTTACGGCTGCTTTTGTGGGAACATCAAAGTCTGGGTGAAGGTTTCCTCCATGCAGATAAAGGTGTATGGTGGCTGCAATGTGAAATTCCACTGTATGCATGCCACTTTATAAATTTAATATTCACTTAACTTATTATTACATCCAATATTTAACAATAAAAATAAAAACTACTTTAAAGTTTTATTCATCAATGTTATAATCCTGTATAAATTTATTCACAATTATAATGCTCATAAACTATCAATGACTGAAAAGGGTTTTCATGTAGGGAAATAATAATTAAATTTATAACGTCTTGGTGATAAAGCAAATTCATTTGGTTCTTGGTAACACATGAAAAACGTAAACACGTTTTAGATATTCAGATGCTAGTTTAATTTCAATTGGTAAGGTTAATTCTCCTTTGTCTTATTGTGCCTCTCTTTATTTGTTCTTCATTATGTAGTTTTATTGATAACCTGGTTGAGTTCTTTTGATCTGACTGGCAGTTTGATCTTACTGTTCTGTCTTCTTCTCAGTGGTAACTCTGACACTATCATTTGTGTTTGTTTTCTTCCTGAGTAGTCATCTGAGGCGACTAATAAGAACTCTGCTGATCATCATCAATTCTTGTTAGTTGATATGCCTTTGGGTCCTGGTCCTTCTGATGTGGACAGTTCTAATCTGAGTTTGGTAATCTCTGTTATATCATTCTGTAGTTCGAACTTACATACATCTACTTCTAGCTTCTTACTTTCTTCTTGATTTCGTGGTTTTTTTAAGTCATGCAACAGCTTCTTGGTTGTGTGTCTTTTTTATCAATTCTGGTTATTATCAAGTGCGAAATTCACGCTTTTGATAAATTCATCTCATTGTTGTGTTTCCTTTATCTATGGACTGCAATTCCCTTGATGATAGGAATGTTGCTTTTCTAAATATTTCATTTAAAAGTAATTTTTAATTACTGTATTTGTTTTTGACTGCTGATCCACTAGATTGAGTACTAAATCATAGATCATTATTAAAAAACAATTGGAAGGATTATAAATTTAATGCCAGTAAAAGCCTAAATATTATAAGTTAAGCTTAAATCATATTACCAGTAAGTAAATGAAAATGCTAATTACTCAATTGGTTAACTGAAGCAGCAGGTTGGCAACTTGCCTCTTGACATGAGAGAACTAACTAACTATTTAGTAACTAACTATTTTGTAACTCAGGTCGGCAACTAACTTTCAAGATAAACCTCTACAGTAGCCTCCTGGTCACCTGCTGTGTTGTGCAGTGTACAGTTAAGCCCTAACCTGTAGATGATTTACTTTAGGTTACCATTTCCTACAGTAAATATAAGCTTCATTTTAAAATGGTTAATATGCACCTTCTTCATCTGCATTCTTAGATCCCCTTGTTACTGAGAAAGAATTCCAGGGTGTCTCATTCATGTCAACTGACTTACAACAGTACTTCTTTATAACTTACTAGCCAATGGAAATTGTAGTACTGTTGTTCCCATGAAAGTCAAATAATCCAACTGTAATTTCACTCCTGAATTTTCATCTTCTGGCCTCTCTGCTGCTGCCTGACTGTCCACTATTTCTTAAAT